CTGGAGAGACTATGTCTCTCGGCTGGCCTGGGAGCGCCTAGGGCTTCCCCCAGCAGAGCTGGAGGAGGTGTCTGCGGAGAGGGAAGTCTGGGAGTCTCTGCTTAGTCTGCTGCCCCCGCAACCCGGTTCTGGATAAAGCGGGAGACGACGAGTATGAATACGTGTGTACTAACCGCTATCTAACAAAAGTTTGAATTTTAATGAATGAAAATTTTATTTTTTTTGTGAGTGTTTTTCTTTAAACTTGTAAGAGATTGTTATCAACAGATAAAGTTTAAAAAGCTCTGAAAGGGTTAATCTTGACCTATTTTTTTCATCACATGACCCTAGAGTTTTAACTGGGTATCAACATTTCACATCAGATGAATGAGACAGTTGAAAGGTCTGTGATTGGATGCCCTCTGGACTCCGTGCAGCAGGTGGGAAACAAAGACTCACACTGCAGGCCTTGATGCTCAATTCCGATTTTTTTGTGAAATCCGATTATTTTGGTTTGCCGATCACATTTCACATTTCCAAATATATGCGACATGTGATCTCCTGTATGAACTGTAGTCATACAACGCAAGTGACCCGCATGCACAGTAGAGGTCACAGGCCAGCGTGCTCTGTTTACGGAAATAAAAATGGATGGTAGCGCCGGCGCACATCTAGCTATCTTTCCCAACCACAAAAACCCAATCTTTTCAAGATGGTTAAACATAAATACTGCTCTCCGCATCATCGTCTGCCATGGTTGTTGTTTTTCTTGCCGCTTCTTCATAGCAAGACCCAGAAAAGTGACCTTTGTCGGGTATTAAGGTCGTTCAGGTCGGATAAATGCCCCCTGGCCGTTCAGACACGGGTCATTTCAGGCTGCAGTGTGAACATAGCCAAAAGGACCCTAATTAAAATAGCATCTCTGTTTGGTAATTTCTCTCACCCCAATCATGAAGCTGGTGAACCCTAAATACACCAGGAAGCGTTATCACAGACCCTTCCTCCCAGCAGCTGTAAGACTATAACCAGTACTCAAGTTGAGGGGGGATGAGGGGGGATGGCATCCCCCTTCATTCAAAAACTATCCCCCTTCTTAAATGACCATCCCTCATACCATCCCGGACATTTAATTACTGAATGTGTAAAATCTCTACTATATATTAGCAGTAATAGCAATAATATTTCCCTTTCAACAGTTGGCGGGCTGTGCTCTTACGAGTAGCCTGGATAATATAAATAAAATCGAAGAAGTGGCCTACAATGACTATGAAGCTGATCCCAGAGGGAAATTTGTCCCTAACTATGTAGTTGCAGTGATAGCCATATCATTCCAGGGACTGACTGCAGTTATACTGTAAGGTGCCTTGGTCAAAGTCAATGACAGACGTGCCTGACATGGAACAACATATTGCCTTAGGTTAATAGACTATATTATTTAAGCTATGTATGCTTCTGAGAAAAAAAAAAAAAATCCACCATCACCCTCCTTTTTCTTTTTCTTTTTACAACTAGACTACTGTCTATAACCACCACCACTGTTGCCAACGGCCTCCATAAGTTGTTACATTCATGTTGATTTTGGACAGTTTCTGTCTTAGTCGGTTAATTACGTCTCTAGCAGCACATCTCTGATGTTGCTGCTATTTTTCACATATCCATTACTGTAAAATGTTCCACAGCTGATTATTGAATTTTCATTTTTCTACATACAGACAATTTATATTGTAAAAACACTGTACAGTATTTATTTGTTTATGTTCTTATCTGTTAGTTTTGCACACTTTTCTAGGGTCCAAATTGTATGGCCACTTCAGCTATAACCTTTTGCTGCTGTAAGGCCACAATTTCCCCATTGTGGGACAATAAAGAGATTTTCTATTCTATTCTATTCTATTCTATTCTATTCTATTCTATTCTATTCTATTCTATTCTATTCTATTCTATTCTATGCTATAGAAAACACAAACCTAAATTTAGTAGAAAGATTTGGAGTCTCACCTCGTTTGAAAACCTCCAGATTCTGGAACTCCAGAAGGTTATTCCCATAATGGAAGTTTGTGACATAGATCTTCTCGTCGTTGGATTTGGGATCCTTCATCCAAGCTCCCTCAGGTCTACCATAGGTGTTGTGAGTGATTGGCTCAGATATACTTGCCAAAGTGTCCTTACATTCCCCTGTCACAAACACAGGTAAAGGTGGAGATTTTAGAGGCAGCTATTAACTCCACCATCACCAATGCCAAGGAGTCTGAAAATAATTAGAGGCATTTGTTTTCTTCAAAATGAATTAAACAAGTAAGATTTCCCACAGGAGGAATAAGTTTAGGAATTTCTAAAAGGGAAATTTCCATTTGTTTGCTCCAAATGAGAACATTAGGCTCAGTAATTGCTTTCAATGTGAATAAGAAAAAGTCAAATAATGTTTTGTTGTTCTAGCTAAATCCTGGTAAACACTGGTGCATTATTCTCTTTTCACCCATGTTACAGATGGGGTGCACATATAAAGTAATAATCATTTACCAGTTTTTCTTGAAGTTGATTCCTTGTGGTTTTGCATTGGTTGTTGTATGTCGAGGTTTTCTGCCCCTACATCTTCTTCTTCCCAGCTAATTTTGTATTTCCTTTTGACTGCAGCAGTCAGTCTGGGAGTGCTGGTGACTTTAGGGGAGCGGGTTACAGCTGGGATGGTGCGTAGAGCCATGTCACCAGGTAAAGTGGGATCAGATGAGTGGGTGGGAGTAGTTTCCTCTTGCAGTGTTGATGCGTTGCTGTGCACTGAGGTGGAATACATTGTGGGATGTGCTGGAGCTGAGGGTGTAATAGTTGTAGCAGATGGCCGGCTCATGGTTTGAGCCTCTGCCATGAAGTTAAGATCTGAAGTTGTCAGCTTTTGATCTTTGAGCTCAAAGCTTGTGGTTTCCATCTTGGAGATGGGAGAATATCCCTTGGATAACGGTTCTATCGTTTCCTTCATGTCTGGCCTGTTGGAGGGTTGGGTTGGACTCAGTTTAATTTGATTGGTGTTTTCAGGTGGGCTGATAGTTGAGGAAGCTCCTGGAGCTGTTGTCATGGGAACGGGCCAATCTGTCAGAGGTTCCCGGTTTTTGATTTGTAAACCGTTTGCAGTACTGGTTGGTCCAGCTTTAACGCTTCTCGCTGTGGCCACCTCTGCAGACACTTCCAAGGACTTGATTCCACCATCACTAATGATCTCATTATGAGACGTTAAGATGGGCTTTGTTTCCTTTAGTTTTAAAGACGGGGTGTTCCTCTTGGGTACAGGATCAGTGGACTTTCGCCTAAATGATCTCAACCAAGCTTGTGTCCTGGGCCGAGTGGCTTGATGACGAAGGAGATTCTCTTCAATAAAGAGGTTGATGGAGCCGTCTCCGCTGAATTCATGGTATTCAAACACTGAGGACAGAAAAATTGAAGATTTTAACTTTTTGTTTTTGCTTGAAAACAAAATAAAATCATCAAAATTGTTGAACTGCAACTTGAGCTAGAAATGGAAATAAAGCTAAATACACCCAACTGTATAAATCATAAATCTCAGACACTTAAATACCTCAGACGCCTTTAGTCCCTGAAAACTATTTATTGTTCTGCCTTGAGGATGATCTGCATGCACAAGCTGAATTGCTTTCTTTGAGCATACAGGGGTATACTTATTGGATGAAATTAATCTATCTCCATTTCTTTTCTTTGTGTGCTTCTCCAAAACACAAGCGGTCCTTAAACTCTATGCTCAAGTGATTTTATGCATCTGCAAGTTGCTCATGTTCAGAGTTGGGAAAGCATGCTTTTAGTTATTTTACCCCTGCTACTTGGAATGCTCTCCAAACTGAACAGACATAGTCCAAAATGATCTACTTTAAAACTTTTTTGACATAAAAGGCATCCACAAAACAGTGATTCTTTAGGTGAGAAGCTAGTCTTTTTCAAATCGACTTGGTTCGCTATATTTAAATTACTACTACATTTATTTGTTTATTTCAGCATTCATATGTAATGAACTGCATTCCATGTGTAAAATATTATTACTTTAAGGTGCTTGGTGTTTCTGAGAAGCAATTGTTGACCTCTTGGTCAATTCACCCTTGAAAAAGACTTCTGTCTCAATGGGTTATTTTTTTATCTGATTACATAAAAGCCAATATAATAAGACATTTTTAAAAATCTTTGCATTTTACCCTGTTACAATCATTCTTTGTATTTTATTGTGATTTCAATAATATACCAAGAGAAATTAGAGAATTATTACAAAATGGAAGAAAAATTCTAGAAGGTTTTCATTTGATTAGTGTGTCTTTCCTTTACTTTCAGCTCTGCTGATTATAATATCCTTGAATTAAATCTGATCCAGGCTTAAAATCAACCCACTGGTACTAAAAGAAACCATCAGTGTTTAATTTGTGATCATTACTAATACAGCTTTGGTGTTAAGGCCCCAAAAAGTTTGCAAAGAGATCATGAAACCAAAGGATGAGGGATTAAGTTAAAGAGATCTAAAGCAGGATTACAGTTTGAACAACACCTCAAGCTGTCGGCATCTTCCAGAGCTGCAGCATCTAAGGATGGAAGAAGTATGGCATTTCTGTACGTCCACTAAGACATGGCTATCCACCAAAACTGACTGGGAGAGAAAACCATGCATCAAAGAAGCAGATGGCTAAATTGGGGGAACCTACTAACTGTGCACCCAACATAAGTCATTCATTACGGGATGGCAGTTATATATATTATTGAGGGAAGGCCTTATGGAGTCTCGTTTGCAATTTTTAAACAATAAATACACGGTTTGCCTTAAACATTTAGGTTAAGGCAAACCGTTAAAGGTTTACCTATCAGATGAAGCCAAACTCACCTTTTGGATCTACATGCAAAAATTCCCGCCCTTTTAAAATCAGCAGATTGCATACTCTATAGGAAGTTCAATTCAATTAAAAATACTTTATTAATCCCTAAGGGAAATTAAATGTTGTAGTAAACAATTTCCTTTTCTTTTAACGAGTTGCTGTAGATGATAGCTGTAGCGGTCTGGTTTGTGCCAGATCTGAAGAGGTCATAGACTGAAGACACGCTGTTGTTCATTATTTTCTCGTTTCATGAAGAATTAATCTTTGGATTTGTTTACAGTGTAGTCCTGCTTCTTTTACAATGACTAACTGTATGTGCTCATCCTCATGAGGAGTGTTGGCTCGGAGCTCGTCTGCCTGCTTTCTTGGACGGTACCACCTGTAGAGCTGGTTGACAGTTGCCTTTTAAATATCTGCTTCTTTCTGTATTTCTGCATTTGTCTCCTTCAAGCCCAGTCAGTGTTGGCAGATGGCCGCTCACACTGAGCCTGGTTCTGCTGGAGATTAAAAGGGAGTTTTCCTCTCCACTGTTGCGACATGAAAATCTGGTGTAAAAGATTGTTGAAGAGTCAATGACTAAATACAAGTGAAAATCTGGAACACCAAGGTATTCATACTCCATCACCACTCCCACTTCTTCTTCCATGATAGTAATAGGTTTTAACTTGTTCCTATTTCTTCTGAAATCTACAATTATCTCTCTTCTTTTGTTCACATGATTGTTTCCGCACCATGCAACAAGCTGAGTTTCAGATTTGAAAAATCACCTTGAAGGTAGTTTATATTTACATTTGCATATCCTCAAGCTATAATTTGGTGTCGTTCCGTCATTAGAATATGATCTGGACTTTGATAAAGGAGCCCTTGCAAAAAAAAGTGTGTTTTAATTTCCTCCAATCTTTTGAAGATCAGGGAATACATCTTGTAAAACTGACATGGTGCATCGAGCAAAACAGCATCGTCAAGGTACTTTAGGGAGGCTTTTCTTCATGTTACTAAGCAATCCTGCAAAACATATTAGAGGCTGCAAAGATCTTGCCACTTGAAATGAGGTTCTCTAATACTCCTCCTTGTAACAAAACAAGAAAATGTGTGTTAAATTATGTTGTCTAATCTGACCAAGCTGCTGCTCCTGTAGAAAGAGGAATATGCAGGGAAATATGCCTGTAGATCTGCAAGAAATATATAAAAAATAATTGCTGCTGTAACTGCAACAAAAGTGGTCTTGATCATGTTACTCAGGTGAACTCTGCACCTGCTATCTCTAACATACTCCTTTGTTCAGCTGCTAATAAACATCACAAGTTGCACAGAACCTTAAAATATTACTTCCAATGAATATTGATCCTTTTTTGGATTATATTCTACTTTGTGTTAATATGTCAGATACCACAACCCCCACCAAAAAAAGAAATTGTTAAAAGCTAATTGGGTGTAAAAACTTTATCAAAGCACCATATGCTCTGCTTTGAACTGTTTGCAGTAAAGTACAATCAATCTATGTGCAGACTTCATCTTATTATTTTCAGTTTAATTTAATTAAAGCTTACTGTTCTCGCCAGGCTCTCCGTCATCTGCCACCATGGGGTCTGGCTCCACAGCATCAGGCTCAGATTTATAAAAAGTAATCCCTCTGATGATCATTTCATTAGATCCAGCCTTCGACACCTGAGAATCCTCTTTGTTAGCCGTGGTATTGAGAACCTTGATCTCAGCGATCCTATCAGAGCCAACGGGCTTATGAGTGGCTGGATTTTCCGTCGTAAACTTTTCTTTGAATCTTTCCTGTTGACCATAAAAACAGCAAGGATTAGTCTCGTCTTTTTATTGGTGGACCATTCCAATGTTTGCAATTGCTGATAAATAATCCTAGTGAAAAATAAAACAGCAGTTATTAGAAGATAACTTTTCAATTTTAAACACAGAGCAGAATCCGGTTGGTTGGGCTCCTCCCATCATATGAAAGTTAAAAGCTGGAAGGGATCAGCACCCAGCGGGAAAGTCACAGTTAAGGAGTCTGCTTTTGTTCACTGATCCCACCAAACATTCATATTGCCTCACAGACTCTTTTACACTCTTTTACACATTCCTTTTACAGAACTGGGATTTTAAGGGGAAATCAGTGAAGACGTGTGATTTATCTAAATAAGATGAAAGAAAGAACTGACATGTGATAACTGTCCTTTAGGTTTATGAGTTTGATACACTTGGAGCCCTTCTTATTTTGCATTTTTTATACAAAGGTTTAATTTCTTATTTCAACGGGATATAGTAAAGCATCTGTTGGATTGTTTAGTGAGATTGACGGATTCACTGTTGATACATTTTGTTTTACAAGGTCAGAAATCTGATATCTGTCCCAGAATTTTTCATTCTTAAAACTATTTATTGCACAAATGAAATAAGGTTTTATTTCATCATAGAAATAGGATCAAATTTAGAATCAGCATCATGCTAAATTACTGATAATGTAAAGCATGGGTCATATGTAATTACCTCAGTAGGATAAATATGTTATGCAGTACAAATATTTTTACTTTATAGCGACTCCTTTATTGTTATAATAATCCTCGTTGATATGTCAAGCTCTCTCTTACCTCTGGATAGTGGTAAGCTGCCGCCTTACTAACATCACCAAATCTCTCCTCCTGATGTGGATGAGGAGTAGTTGGGCTTTCAGTGACTTTTGTCTTTAATACAGGACTCCCTTGAGTCTTTGCTTGGCCAACAGACACCGCCTGGAAGATATGAGGCCAAATATAAACAAAGGTTTTAAAGATTCTACACTTTATTTTAGAACTGGTTAGAAATTAATGAAAGCAGAAAAATAGAAATCCTTCCTCCCGCTACATTTGCAGAAAGGATCATCCAAACTGACCTTCCCTCCATCCACTACCTTTGTTATATATATATATCACAGACCCTGATAGGGCCCAGAATATCAATAACTATTTACTTCATGTTTGTTTTCCAGACTGAAAAAGATCCCTTATAAAGCAGCACAGTTTAGCTCGCTACATTCTTTTCTTCAAACTTGCCGTGTAAACCCTCCATTTGTTTCTCCTGCACCTGTTGGGATGGGTTAACTTGAAAATCAACTGTATATTTAGTATGTTGACTTTAGCACAGTCTCAGCTGCTCCTCTTCTATCTTAGCTGTAAAGGTTGTCATCATAGATATGAAGCAAACAGAGTGGATGCTCAAGATGAGGCTGGTGGATAACTCAACAACTCAGATTTTGTTTTTTATTTCTAGTCCAGCTCATCTTAGAGATGCTTCCAATTTTCAGTTATTTTTCTAATAATCTTTAAGTTTAGCATAAGGAAAAATCTAAGGTAGAGGTTTTTTTCTTTCTTTGACATAAATTATTATATGTCTTAAGCTGTTCTAAATTAAAAAAAGGAAAAAGTCCTGTGAATCCTAAAGCCGAAGGAAGGCTTCTAACCTATCAAGTTGGAATTTTAAGGTTTTTATTGCATTTTATTCCACCTCTGCTTCACTCTTACCTTCTCGATGTGATCCACTCGTTGCAGGAGCTTATTCGTCAGAGAGTGCAGCTTCAGTAGATCCATCCCATAGAAGGAACCCTCCAGCAGCTCCAGGATGGTGGACAGCTGCAATGATTGAGTGAACGCCATCAGAAAACATAGTTTACATAAAATGTGGCATTAGTCCTTTTTTGAATGTTATCAATCCGTCTAGAGATCCAAACACTCCCAGGAAATGAATAAGTAACATCAATGTTTGGTATTTTCATAAATTAATGACACCCATCTGAACTCATTTTATTTATAACCTTCAAATAATTTCTATGTGATAGAATAAAACAAAAGTAATCCAAAATTGTGAAATGGAAGTAAGATATAGCTAGTTTTCACACTTTATACAAAAAAAAGAGAAGCGTGCATGTCTTCAGCCACTCAATCTTTTAAATCTAGTACAAACGGCTGCTTTCTTAGGTCACCTGATTAGTAAATGCCCCAGATTGTTTTTAATCCATCTTTATATGAAGGCAGCTGCTTTGTAAATGCCACACACAGCATCATATCCAAGGATGAACATCTTAATAAGCCCCGTTCAGTCCATCATTTAAATGCTGACCAAGACATCTCCAACAGCCAAGGAAGTCATTAATCACAGCAGCCAAAGCCCCCATTGTAACCACAGAATAGCTATAGAGATCCATAGTTTTGCTGCAAGAATCTCCAAATGGGACAATGAATAACTGTTCACCCCAATAGTGGTAAAAAGAAAGTCATTGTTTAGAGAAAGCCATAAGAAGTCAAGTTTGAAGTTTAACCAACTCAAGTGGGACAGCCAGTAAGGATGTATAAAAAGGTTTTCTGGATCCGATGAGATCAGAACTGAACATATTGGTTCACATGTGTTATAAAAGTAATTCTGCATATCACTCTGAATACATCCTCCCCATGGTAAAACACGGTAGTAGCAGCATTGTGCTGTGGCTGTTCATGGAGGCTGGTCCAAGCTGAGTTGATGGGAAGATAACTGGAACTAAATACACTGTAATTTGATAAGAACATTTCAAAAAAGCCACAAAAAGACGTATGACTGAGATGAAGGTTCACCCTCCAACAGGAGGAACCTAAACTAAGAGCCAGAAAGACCACAGAAATGCTTCGACTAAAACACAATCAGGTATGAGAGACCCAGTCAGACCTAAATGTTATTGAGGATCAGTGGCGAAGCTTGATGTGGATGTTCAATGTTGGTATCCAGAGCTTCTGGCATTTTGTTAAGAAGAAAATAACATGTTGGTGAAGATGATTGAGTTAAACACTCTAAAGTCTCCCAGATGTAATTCCAACAACAATGAGAAGAACTGACTCAGTGGGTCTGAATATAAAAGCAATCCAAATTTTAAGTGAAAAACTTCAAATAAAAGGGTTTTTAGTTGTCACCAGGCAACATGTAAAACTATATGTGTGTTTTAAGGCACAGTCCTGGACTACAAATAGACATGGAGACTCTTAACCTTGATGTTTTTTTTCCCAGCTTCCCTGAGTTGTTTCAGCCTGAACTCTCCCTCGCATGGATTGACCGCAGAAGGAGGTGCGATGCAGGCGCATTTGCACTCCGGTCCGGAGGTGATGGTCTCCACGGTGTAGAAGTCCTGCGCGGTGGCGCTTCCTTCTTCAATCCGCCTGCAGGCGCTCCTGCTCAGGGGTCTGACGACACATTTACACCCACAGTCAGCGCCTTCAGAGAGGGCTTTCACCTTGTCATAATCACCCAGCAGCTACAAAGAGAGGAAAATAGTTTTATCCCACTGCGCTTAGAATTACGCATAGATTAATTTGGACAACAACAACAACAACAAAAAAAACATACAAGCACCAACCTTAGAGATGATTTCCTCCTGACCATCCATCTCTTCTTGCAGCCTTTCCTCTGCACTGCTTTCAATCCCAGTCTTTGCCTCTGATTCCTTTGGATCTGCACTGGTGCACTTTGGCACCACAAAGCACCAAGAGGTGAAAGCGCAGCACATCACCACCAAAATGCATAACTTATACATGCTGTGAGCGTCCCAGAGCCCCAACTAAAGTTATGCAGATGCGAGTGTGTAAAAGTGAGACATGAAATTAACTCCAAAGAAGGAACAAACACACTAATAATAATAAAAAAGAGCCTTATTATGGTGATAAAAATAAATAAAAAAGCTTCAGAGGATCAGCATCAACAAACGCCATCAGGATAAAGATCCATCCCTTCTCTAAGTCATCTTTCACAGCCACAATGAATGAAAGATATGAGGCTACAAAACAGCTCCAGCTGCAGGGGAGCTGACAGGAGGCGGTGTTTCTTTGAATGTGAGGAAGATGTTTTTTTTTTTTTTTTTCATTGCAAGGAGACATTTTCTGCAACCAAACATCTGCAACCAAGATATATCTGAGTCTGACCTTGTAAAATCGATAAATAAGTTTAGATTAATTCAGATTTTGTCTTGAATCATCCTATTTTGATACTTTTCACAGGTTCCAGCTGTAGTGGTGCTGCCCCCTACTGGCTTCTACGTGCACTGCCACACCTTCTCAAACTCTGGTAGCAGTGATGGTTCACAGATCAAACTGGAAATTAGGGTTGCAACTAACGATTATTTTACAAAACTACGAACCAATTAATCTGTCGATTATTTGTTCCGATAAATCGATTAATAATCATATATCCAAAGGTTCTTTAAATAAGACTTTTTATGAAATTAAACCAGGTGAAACTCAAACTTTTCCACCTGAAGAGTTCTGGATAGAGCATTTTGACAGATATATATATATATATATATTTATTTTTATATATTCTTTTTAATTTTAAATGCACAATATTTTTATACAGTTTTGCTTTAGAGTCACTATACTCCAATTAACGATTATTCGATTATTAAATTAGTTGAAAATTATTGTAATAATCGATTAATACGACTAATTTTTAAGCCCTAGTGGAAATAATTACAAATATGAATAAAATCACTGAGCTACTAAATAGCTATGGATAAGATCATGCTTATCCAAGATTTGTGAAAAATGTCTCTAAAGGGAATAGCAGTGGATGGATCAGGGATGTAAGGGTGTTTTTGACTGGAGTGGAGAAGACGTTTTTTTGTGTGGGGAGAAAAAGTTGGAATGTATGAGATGTATTAAATCTGAGTGCAGAAACACATACCTGATGGAGAAGAGTATATTTATGAGATAGCTGATTTCAATACAAGAGGGAAATTCTATTCTCACATTCAAAGTTTTAGTTCTTGAAATTGGTTCAGGAAATGGTTCTGGCCAGGGTGTAACTTTGTGATGAAAGTAGGTGGGGATGCTCTAAGGGTGGGGGCTGATGGACCTACAGCTATTCAACCCCATCGCTTTCAATAGGATTTATATTTTCCCAAAATTAGTTCAAACGTATATTTATTGAATGCTTTCCTACTGTTGAGAACACAATAGTATCACAATACTCTGATATTTAAAGTTATAGACAGGTGCCTGCCTTTAGTGCTTTATTTATAAAGGGATCAAAAACATTATTGTATAGAAAATGACACATAACAGCCAATATCCGATGCCAATATCAATATATCATGCGTCCCTAGTATGGATATAACTTCAATTCCATCTATTCATCCATCCATGCATGGCTTCCCTTTAAGCTGCATCAGTGATTATCCTCCTTCACAAGCAGCAAAATCAAATTTAGAAATTTGTCCCATATGTCGTTGACAGCCAAAGTCTCTGTATTGAACCTTATATTTCAAAAATCATTTATACACTGATTTGTATTATTCGTGCTTTAATTCTTGTAGGTTTCTTATACTTTAATTTTAAGTCTGTTTCCTGTGAATCTGGCTGTCTCTGGAATGCTGAACTACAAAAGACAAAAAGATATGTTGAATTTTATTATAGCATTGCATATTTTTTCTTGTAAACTTGGAGATATATTTTATTGCATGTTGCATATCACAGTAAATGTGTTTCACCTTTAAATCTGCAGCTCTCCCTAATTGTGTCTCTGCTCTGCTTAAAATCAGGTTCATGAACCTGTCTACCAATATAATGACGACAGAGAAAATCCTTTTCAAGATATCTAAAGCTCTGCAGTCAGATTCTCTGTTCAATAAGAAAACTATAGATATGTGGTAATTTTAATCTGTAACTCTGAGTAATGGTCCTCTAAGAAGCCCAGCTTTTTTAACTTATAGAAATGTACACTCTGAAAAAGCTACTATGTCCGCAGTGAAATAAGACTCCAGATAATCATGTCCTAAAATGGCAGATCGGATTCCCAGTTATTGTTGGCTGAAATAAATCAGCAGAAAGGGGAAAAAAGTGTAAACTTTAGGTGGGGACTGTCCCCTCCATGGAAAAGTTTGTGGGGGACATGTCCACACCTGTCCTTCAGAAAATGATGCCAGTAAATTCTGGGTCCGAGGGCCGGTATCCTGGAACTTTCAGATGCGTCTTTGGTTCAACAGACCTGAATCAAGCAATTAGATAATTGGAGGAACTGACTGCAAACTGAGGAGGTAACTAAGATCATTGATTCAGGTTGTTGGACCGAGGTGAATCTAAAAGTTACAGGATACCAGCACTCTTGAACTGGAATTGCCCACCCCTGGTCTAAACAAAACTGAATCATGGTCAAATAACAAAAAATGCAAATTATTTTTTCTATCCTTTTAATCTGGAAAATCCTTAAAAATCCCAGAGCTTCCAAGTCTTCACAGGCACCCTGCCTCTGGTGCAGTCCCCCTCTGAGACAATAAAACCAGCTCTTTACATTTCAAATATGATTTAATTGTTTTAAGGCACATTGAATAAATGTTTTTATCCAGAATAGCCCAAAATATATATACAAAAAGTAAGAGGCTTAATTTAAGGCACATAGTGCCATTCAGCCAACAAACAGTTCTGCAAAGATGAATTGAGTCTTACATCGAGTGTTTTTAAAATCCCACCATTTTAACGCCCAATCTACATTTTCCAATCCACTGATAATTTAATTAAAGAATTAAAATATTAAAGTGCAACAGCATTTTTGTCACAAACGTCTTCATAAAATGTACAATTCTCACAGATGTCCAACCTCCTAACGACTCTTGACGTTTGACTGAGGGTCAATAAAATTGTTTTAAGAAACATTTGGATCTTTAAAACCAATGCTAAGAGCAGCAGGGTATATTTCTCAGATGTCTGCACTGACTGAGGCTTCTAGCATCCTTTATGCTCTATTCTTTCCTCTACCACCACCGGCAGGATGAGGTGAGAGATGCGGCTCCATAGTCCACCATATTTGTTGAGATCCATCCTGTCGAAAGACACTGGCTGGCCATGAGAAAGAAACCTCTTTTTCAGGTAGTCGTCCACCATCTCCTCCACGATGCTCAAACGCATCTCGGCTGGGATCTCTTCTTCCTCGCCCAGCAGCACTGTAAAGATCAGAAGGGTGTTCTTGTAGGCAGCAGTCTCGTGATCACAGTAGCGGTAGAAAATGAGCGTGGAGCCCGGAGGCAGCTCCTCCAGGCGGTGGATCACGGCTACAGGTTTGTCTCCTTCAAAAGCTCCCTGCAGCTTCCTGTCAATGTCCAGTTTGACCTGGTCGCTGTCTTGGCTGGCTGTACTGGCCCCGTCAATGTGGAGGACGGAGGCATTCAGGGCGGCGGAAAAGGCAGAGGCCACGTCCTGAGCCAGGCAGCGCATGGTGTTCTCTGCTCTAAAACCTGACGTCAGGATCAGGCTCACCGGCTCTGTGGGCTGGCTGGTCTGGAGGTGCCTCTTAAGGTGGATCACACTCCTGCTCCACAGCTCGGCTCGCTGATTAGGAAACCTCGTCTTTACTTTCTCCATCTGCTTAAGGAAGATGTCCACTTTTGGCAAATCCTTCTTCTGAATTGTGGGTTTAGGTTGGAGGAGATTCTGTACCAAGATGGCAACAAGAGCTACTAGAGCCACCGACATCAATAATTTCAAACCTCCTGTGAAAAGAAGGTTGGAATTATCTAAAAATGTATTTTATAAGACTGTTATTTTTTTTAAAACATATATAACAAAACAAGTTATCAAAATAAACTGGCTATAGGATACCATCATTGTTTACCTCCAATGGTTCCAGTGTCAGCTGAAGGTTCAGCCGGTGTAGTCGGACCAATGGTTTCTATATCTTCATTTCGTCCTGGTTCCTCCTGAGACATGTGTGAGGTTCTTCTACCATCTGACCAGACAATAGAAGTAGAGTGATGAATAAAAACAGAGACAACACATTTTTAAACTGTCTGTTTTTATAGAGAGCTTTATAGAAATAGAGTACTGTGAGAAATATGGACATATTGTAACACTTGGAGTGAAGTAACAGACGATTACCAGTTGATTCCTCCTCCTTTAATGAGTCTCCTGTGGAATTGTCGTGCCTTTCCTCAATAGCCGATTGACAGGAGTTCTTGTCCATAGTCAGTAAGCTATCACCTTTAGCTAAATCTACATCTGCAAAACAAAAAATAACAACAAAGGTTATATTTTAGAGCAGCAATTATATCAAAATTGTAAAAAAAATCTGTAAACATTTTGCATTTAGGATAAAAAAAAAAAAAAAAAATCTCTGTCAATATATTCTATCCAGAACTTCTCAAGACGAAACATTTTAGTTTCACCTGGTTTAATTTAGTAAGAAAAAAAAAACTCCTTTAAGGAACCTTTGGTTGTCCGATTATTATTCGAAATAATAATCTACAGCTTAATGGATTTACAAAATAATCCTTACATGCAGCCCTAACTGGGACTTTTACTTTCTACAGCCAAGAGGCATCAATTAATTTTGTGAAGCTTTTGATCAAAGTCTACTGATGCTGCAAAGCTAAAAATAAAAGAATAAATCAATGCTGCAAAATAATTTCTAAATCAAATCCGCAGCATGTGAAGCAAGAGACAATTACCAGTAGATTCCTCCAGCTTTAATGAGTCTCTTTTGTTTAACATCATAACTTCTTTACTGTCAGATTTGAGATCTAACATAATGATTTTATAGTAAAATATTGTGCGCGAAGAGAAGGAGGCAAGCGAGAGGAGAAAATATCTGTGCAAGAAGCATTAAATCTTAGAGAAGAAATAAAGATTTGAGAGAGAAGAGAAAATATTTGAGAGAGAGCGCATGTTTTGAGTGTGAGCATTATAAGTTTTGAGTGCAAGAAGATGAAATTCTTTTCTCAAATTGAAATTATGTGTTCTTGCATTATGGCAGGATAATTCTCCCATAAAAAGCTTGTTAATAAAAAACAAAAAAAAAACCAAGTAATATTTCAAATTAAAGCAGAATCATTAAACAATCAGATGACTACCTCCAAGGGCTCCAGTGTCTTGTGCAGGATCAGCCTGTGTTGCTGCAGAACAAATGGTTTTAACATCCTTTTTTATCAACTCGTTCTCTTCTTCTTTTTCTTCCTTTGAAGGGTCCTCCTGAGACTTTAAACCTGAGCAGATTATAGATAGAAGAGTTTAATATTAACAGAGATAATATACATTTTCATACAAACATTTTTAAACACTAGGTTTTTATAGAAAGATTATTAGAAAATAGAGTACTGAGAAATGTGGACATATGGTAACACTTGGAGTGAAGCAAGAGACAATTACCAGTAGAAACCTCCTGCTTTAATGAGTCTCCTGTGGAATTGTCCTGCCTTTCCTCAATAGCTTGTTGACAGGAGTTCTTGTCCATAGTCAGTAAGCTATCACCTTTAGCTAAATCTTCATCTGCAAAACAAAAAATAACAACAAGGGTTATATTTTGACCACTTGTTTAAATTTATAAGGACAAAGAAAGTTCATCTTTTCTTTCTTTATTAATTTTTTATAAAAAAAAAAAAAAAAAAAAAATCCTCTTTTCTGATCCAAATCTGATCAAAGGCATTTAGGTTGAATTTCCTGACACCCACCTCCTGGTGTCTCCTCATTATCTAAGGTCTTTGAACTCTCCCCGTCTGCAGGTGTGGCTGTTACTGTCCAAAACAAAATTAAGCACATTTCTTTTTTTACAAGTGAAAAAAATTTAGGCATATGTTTAGTGCATACCAAAGAACTTAGATTTCTTAAATACTCTTAAATCTCCATCTGGACTACAATCAAGTGGAACTTGTTTTTGCATAATAACTTCTTTACTGTCAGATTTGAGATATAAAATAATGATATAGTAAAATATTGTGCTCTAATAAATGTAAAGACTCCAATCCAAGTGAAATAATTGTTTTCTGCATTATTTGAGAACACAGATCATAAGTATACTGCATCCAGGGCTAAAAAATATTAATCAGATTAATCAATTATTGTAATAAACGTCAACTATTTTAGTAATTGATTGATTGTTAAATGGAGTATAGAGACTCTAAAAAATGCTTGAATGAATCCAGACTTAAGGCCTCCCAGGAACTTTTACGTTGAAACAAAAAGGACTCAAACCTTGTCAATAAAAAAAACAAAACAAAAACAAATAGAAGCAGAGACAGTTTGATCTTTCTAACTGTAAAAATACATTAAAAGGATTCTATATCATACTTTTACTGGGATATTTGTCAGGCATTTTATCCTCTGGCTTCTCAGTCTCTGGTGCCTCTCCTCTGAAATCGCCTTGTTTGTCGGCTTCATCATTATTGTGGACGTCTGTTTTCAGTGAACCTTTTGCTGGTTTTGACTCTGCAACAACAGAAAACAAAGCAAGTTGTACGATCCATCTAAGTCATATTCTGAGCAGACTGATCAGATTAATATTTGTCAGATCAAATAATTCAGGTTTTGTTTTTCCTCCCACGTGTAAACATGTTAATGCATTTTTACTCCTTCTCTTCTGCTTGGGTCGGGCCTTCAGAGGCCCATTTCACAAAGCAGGTTCAGTGAAGACTGTTTTCTAAACCTGAAATCAGGGAAACCGACGTTTCACATACAGAGTCTACTCAATCTATGTCTCTGTTACCGTAGTGACATTCTCCCCAGAACTAACCTGGTTGGGAGCAAGTTTTCATCAATACACTAAAAGTGTCCTTTGTCTCCACTCTCCTTAAAGCCAATCATGCTGTTTTATTTCCTAAATTAGGAGTATTGTGCGACCAATAAAAAGGAAACCATTCACTACATTCACTAGGTCCATTAGAAATATTAGATGTTAGCAACACCATAATAGCACGAGGATCCAATTGAAGAATGAGCGGCATTAATTTATAGAGAATTAAATATTTACAGGGAGAGGGTTCTTAGACTGCGTACCTTTCATATTCAGAATGTTATCTTGACCATGAGTGAAACCGTTTCTTCTCACAGTCCATCACATACCTCCAGAACCTTGGCCGTTATCACATTTGCAGCAGTACACAGACTTCTTTAACAGGTATTTAGCTGAACTTGATATCAGTGAGAGCACACTGATGTGTGATAACAGCATTATGGAAAACAACTGTACAGTGAAACAGGCACTTAGTATTTACTGTGTACTGGAGGACAGAAATAAAAGGAGGAGGAACCCCATGAGATGATGCACAGGTCTTACCAGTTAGAACAACATTTTCATACGTTATCTTCACCTGCTGACAGGTGATTTAAAAAAACTAAATACATTCATCCACTACCATTCAACCAGTAAATTATTGTTTTTAATCTTGATTATAACAGGTTGTGACAGCACGTTAATGGAACTTGACAAATATTTTAAGACCCTCTAGTGAAAGGCTGGTAATGGTTACTTTAAATTATTCTAAAACCAGATATGTCCTATAAAGCAGTGGCTCCAAGACTGTGGTTTGTTCTGCCTTCCTCTTTGTAGCATCTTAAATCTGTCCAGCTACTAAAGAGCAATTAATTTAGATTACCTTTTATCTAGCTTCATTTTGTATGAGGTTTTTATCTGTGTTATTTCATGTGTGGTCTTTATTGTGAAGCACTCTTTGGATTCTATCCTATGATCCTCAATTTCTTCGTTAGACTGTTTTGGCAATAGGGTTTCTTTAAAAGCGGAGGAAATGGATAAGGGTGAAAAAAATGCTCAACAAAAAAGGAGAGAGAGAGTTCTACTTCAAACCAGAAACTTAAAAAAAATTAATTAAGTTTTAAATGGATAAAACCCACCTTCCTCTTTATTACTGTTTGTGCCTTCGGTGGCTGCAGACCCTTCATTCATTCCAACTTTAATGTCATTTACAACTTCCTCTCCTTCGCTTCCTAATGTTTGTGAAGTCGATGGGTTTTGTTCCGTGACATCTTTTCCTAAATGAAACAGTTGCCCATTAAAAAAACACAAACTGTACAATCTATAAAAGCTATTGGATCCACATATAACTTAAGTGAGACTCATTAATATGTTTTCCAGGTGAAGAAGGTGAATATTTACAGCATAAATCAGAGATCTAAACTTAATAACAACTTAGAAATACATTAAATCAGTTCAGATCATACCTGTGGGTTTAACAGAGGTTTCTGCATTGCCATCTGGCTGCTGACAGTCTGCTTTCTGTTCTCCTTCCATGTTTTTTGGACAGCACCTCTTCACTCACTGCGGGATATATGAACAAATATAACAGGAGAAGATTATTGTGGTTTTGAACAGTTGGTCATTAAAGGGTTAAAGTTCACAATGACGTTTTAAAACGTGACATCTGTCAAGCTTCAGCTTGCAATAACGAAGTATTAACGAAACTGTGAAAATATACACCATTTGACAAATGTGCTCATTTATAGCGATTAAGAACATTTTTAGTGCGAAACATAATTAAAGTATTTTTGTTTAAGCTGTTCGGGTTTGTTACAACATGATACCTGGTAGCTAATTCTCGGCCAGCTAGGTGAACTGCTAAGAAACTGCGAATAAAAGTGCAGTTATTAACTTCAATCGTGGGGTTTTATACAAAGCACACATCCGATAAAACGCTGTAGGCAAATGTTGCCAGCTAGAATCTAAGAAAATGTTAAATTAGAGAAAAATAATTTGACCCAGGTAGCTTGAGTTAAGATTAGCTAATGTTAGCCAAGCTACTTGATTTCGTCAGTTATCAGAAAGCCTTAACGTAGCAGAAAATCCATTATCTTATTAAAATATATATATTCATGGTAAATATATACTATCCACGATTACCAGCTTATGGAAAAGAGCCGACCGATATCATGTCTATTAATCTTGTAGCTTCTTTCTCTTTTAATAAGTTTCACTCGCAACTGTTTAGTTCCAGAGCGGAACTAACAACATAATCCTTGTTTCCAGTCCGGAAGAGAAATACTATAGAATTCAACGGGTCCAGAGTCCTGACTTAAAACGTTTCCCCAGTAACCAAAAGGGGAAGTTTGTGCACTGCTGCCGCGTTCTTTCTGCGTCAGGATGTTTTGCTTTTGTGTTTAAACTTTTATTTTAATTTTCGGCGACACTCGTTCGATTTTAGATCGGCAATGGATTCAGACAAAGCTAAAAACAAGGCATCGGGCACCTTAAGGCGGTCGGGAAGGCATACGATGAAAGGTGAGCAAAGTGACAGTGATGCTCATTAGCTAGCTTAGCTGTTTAACTCTAATGCTGTTGAAAGTTATATAAAATGTGTTAGAATTACTTTAACCCCTCGTCATCTAAACGATAATAAATAGTTCCATGTTAAATAGTTTGAATGTGTATTTTTATTGATTTGTTTTAAGTTCATTTTCGGTTTTGTTTTCCAGCAGTAATCATCTATGGATAGGTGAAATTATAGGAAGCTAATTGTTTTTGTCAGTGTAATTTTTATTATCATTACCATACTAATTCAATCTAATACTAGCAAAATAACGATATTAATAACTTAAATGGCACTGATACTGAATAACTGTAATGCTATGAATAGCAAAAACACTCAATATAAAACAATATATCTATAATGTAAATAGTGATTCATCAAACACTTCATTGTACATTTTTCCGTGTTTATTTAGTGCAGCATGAATAAAAAAATTGTTATTCTAATTTCCTCCTGGGACATACCTTATTTGATAGTTGGACAATTATCCATATATTCTCTCAAAGAAAGGTATCTCAGAATTAATTTATTAAAAGAAAAATAATAGTTATATTATAGTAATATTTTTTTTTGCTTATAATATTTGAAGATGGTTGTTTTGTTTTGTTTTTTTAAATAGGCGAACAAGCCTTTGTTTACATAACGCAGAGGAAGATCTACTGTTACATCCATAACAGGAATATAAATTAACCACAATCTGCTTTCATCTGCATTTCATTTTCTCTGGTTTTTAAGATGTGACCAAATCTGTTTTTGTGCTCTGCTGTAAACACTTTGCAGATTTTCCATTGAAACAGTAAAGTTGAGCCAACTATACAAGTATGTAAATTATCTAGTTGGTGGGGGGGACTTGGGGTATTCTTGTGTATTTGTTATTTAATGCAGTATCAAAACTAATCCCAAAATCCAAACTTATGTCGCTTTTTGAGTCCCACAGACCCTGTCTATGGGTGCAGATACTAAAGATTGACCCGTGATGAAAAAGAGGACATGAGGCCTAGTCTGGTCAACAGCCTTACATCATAGGGAAATCAATTTAGGGAACTTTACACTTCTAAGAATTACTATACAGATCACTGTTCCCTCTAGTATTGATATTCATGTTGTCTGGGATTTTTATTTTTATTCTATTNTTTTTTTATAATCTACATTTTTATTTTCATATAGAATTATAAGTCAGTATATTCATTTTTTATAAATCTGAAATCTGCAGGTTCATCACAACATGTAATGATGTTACATGCTATTTATGAGTTATGTGATTATTAAGTTAGAAAACTTGAGTCTTTACCAATCTTTGGACCTAACTACTAAAAATGCTTAAAATTAAAATTACTTTAACCCCAGTTATCTACTCCATTATAAGTAGTTTCATGTTAAATAGTTTGAATGTGTATTTTTATTGATTTGTTTTAAGTTCATTTTCGGTTTTATTTTCCAGCAGTAATCATCTATGAATAGGTGAAATTATAGAAAGCTTATTGTTTTCGTCAGTGTAATTTTTATTATCATTACCATAGTAATTAATTCTAATACTAGCAAACATAATGATATTAATGCATTAAATCACACTGATACTGAATAATTAACTGTAATGCTATGAGTGTATTGTTTCACTTCAATTTTATGTAAAGGACATATAAGGCAAAACACTCAATATAAAACCATATAACTATAATATAAATAATAATTTATCATACACTGTCTTTGTAAGTTTGTTCGTGTTTAGTTAGTGCAGCATGAATAAAAAAGGACAAAGGTATTTTTATTATTCTAATTTCCTCCTGGGACATAAATTATTTGATAGTTGGAGAATTATCCATATATTCTCTCAAAGAAAGGCATCTCAGAATGAATTTATTAAAAGAAAAATTATAGCATTTTTTTTTATTTTTTTGCTTGTAATATTTTAAGATGGTTGTTTTGTTTTTAAATAGACAAACAAGCCTTTGTTAACATAACGCAGAGGAAGATCTACTGTTACATCCATAACAGGAATATA